AACTAATGTAGAGCTAAGAGTTTAGTTTCTCCTATCATCTTTTCAGCCCACATGCTTTCTCAACCTTAAGCAACTGATGATCAATATAATTGAATCAAAGTTTCATCACAATACACTTTTTCCTTTATAAAATTTCAAAATGAAACAAAAGGAAAAATCACTAATCAATTATTTTTGCTTTAAAGTTTGTATGGACCTATTTAAAAAGCAATGGATAGGTCAAAGAATTTGCCATTTTAGATGTTGATATTGTTTTCAAAGAATAACTCTTGTTAAAGTTTTTGCCTATTTTCAGATTTTCTGTCAGAACTTATAACCCCAAAGCAAACATATGGGCTTACCAGATAGGACAAATTAAACACAGCATAAATTGTTTCCTTGATATAGTGTGGGTAACTGAGTTTTTATTAGAGTTGGAAATTCATTATCTATCTGAATAACAATTAAAATGAACTCAGCCAAAATTTCAGCCAATTCAGTAAAATACAAAAAGCAAACAAATGAACAAAAATAAAACACACTGATTGTGAATGTTCTGAAGTTGGAGAGAGACAACGATTTCTGATCTGGTTGACCAGATGTCTAAATCTTGTGGGCACCAGTTCCATAAAGGCTACCCTGGATGCACATTTCCTAGTTTATTACCTGAAATTCTTGAACCATCATTGCATTTTCAATGGTTGAATTATAAAGCAAGTTTTGAACTTAGTAGTCATTCCTCTTAACCTCATAAGGAGAAACTGTTGTCTTTACTCTGAGAAACATTTCCCCAAAGAGGCATTAGTCAGCCAAAAGTTCTCAATCACATAATGACAATATTGAAAATAAGTCTTCAGGATCTCCTCTCCCAATCCTTTCTCCATTTTTAGGAAGTCGGTGAAGACCTCTGCATTTCTAGGTCTGGAACACTTGTTGTGTGAGTAGTAATAGTCTTTTCACGATTTGGAGAGAAATCAGTTTGAAAATAATCCAACAACCACCCTATATTAACAGGTGCTCTTTTAAAAGGCTATGCTAGGGAATTGCTAGTTTTGTTAACTTTTTCTCACTGTAATTCTCCCTAAGTATTCTAAATATGAATAATGGTGATCTACAAAGGAGAAAGGGAGAAGAAGTATAAAGGGCAGATGACACAGATTTACCTGAGACTTCACAGTCATGGTCACGGTCCTCCCGTTGTTCATCGATTTTGCTCGAGCGGGCCCAGTAACGTCTCCATCATGAGACTTGGTTGTTACTGTGTTTTTCATATCGAATATGACACGGGGAGCTTGCCAAGCTCTGCCGTGTGGGCGAGATACTCTCGGTAGCTTGCCGGGCTCTCCGAGAGGGGCGGAGGAATCGAACTTGGGTCGGCCATGTTGACTGAGTGCAAGGCAAACATCTTACCCGCTGTGCTATTGCTCCAGCCCACCTGAGACTTCAAACACTGGTTTTCTTTTTGCAAGATTACTAGGTCAAAATCTTTAATTCTTAACATGTGGTGGGGAGTGGTTTATTAACAAAGCATATCATGTTTCAAGGGCATATTGGTAACCAGAAGTGAAGAAGTATGTACTTTTCACTCAGACATGCTCCTCCCCAAACTCTGAACAAATACAAATAACAATAACAAATGCTGATATAATCAGTCAATCTTTTACCTATTTTGAAAGTACCCACTCTACTCTTTGTGTCTGAGAAGATGAAAATCAAACGGCCAGGACACACCAGAAAAGCAGCTTAGGAATCTCTGTGTGCACCTCCACCAAATATGCCAGGAGCCAATAGATTTAAAATCTGCTCCCTTATGTGGTCCACAGGGGCAGAGAATTACCAAGCACATTTGCTGAGTGTGTAGGGCTCCACTGACTCATTTGTGATGTGTTGAGCATCCTAAAGGAAGAATATAAGTCATGAAACACACAAAAATAGACAGAATCAGATGTTAGGCCCTTGGGCAATGCCAGTAATTGGATAATTGGATGATTATAAGCATTAGCTGCTTGGTGTCACATGTTCCCACAGAGCTCAGTGAAACACTGTCAGGAAGAGTTTTAAGAGACTTGTTTGTATTCTGTGTTATTTTAAAACTTCTAAAATAAAATGCAGTTTGACCTTTTTTTCCCCATTGCTAACAGAAATGTATTCTAAGGTCACAGAAACACAGACCATAAGGTGAGATAAATTATGTTTTGTGAATTGTTTAAAAGGATCTACTTTGACAGATTCCATTCTTATCAGAATAGGTAAATTTGCTATGTTCTCCATTTCACCTACTGCTAACTTAATTTCTCTCTTTTCAAACTAGGTTCTGCTGTTAACCATTACTTTCCACCCTTGGTTGGAGAGGATGTTTTTCGTTTCCATCTTCCTTCCTTCCTTCCTTCCTTCCTTCCTTCCTTCCTTCCTTCCTTCCTTCCTTCCTTCTTTCCTCCCTCCCTCCCTCCCTCCTTCCTTCCTTCCTTCCGCCTGCTTTTGCACTGTCTTGCTTGAGTTTACAGAGTAAACATTTATTTACAAAGTAAAATTTCTTCTGATTTTCCTCTTTTATCAGAGTTTAACCTTTCCTGCTAATTTAGCAAAGCTTGCGCCCACTGTACTTTCTAAAAGCAGCGATGGTTTACAAGATCAGACTCCTTAAAACCGGTATGCCATCCTTCATGAGAAAAATGACATACTTGTCATTTTATTTCCTTCCTTTAGAGAAATATGGTTATTTCCAAATTCTCATACCAAAATATTTAAGTGTCCAGATGAATATTCTCTACCAATGTCACTAAGAAGAATTACCTAATCAAAGTAATATTCTGTCATATGCCCACGGAGTATATATGAAACTCATTGCAAGGGTTAAGGCACTTTCCCAAATGGACCATGTTTCACTTTTATTAATACTTCATCAGCAGGAGTTTGTGTTTTTTGTTGTTCAAGTACAAGTCATATAACCGAAACAAAGGGAAACAGGCTCAGGCTGAGAAAATGATGCTTAGTAATTTCTATGGAGGGAAGTAGAGCCACACATGGTGACCCCCTCAGAGAGGTTTGTTGGCAGAGGCAGGAATTGTCATTTCAGCCTGAAGAATCATGGGTTTGGGCTCTCGGCTGGGGGTTAACGCCTGGGATCCTCGGACTTCCGCTCCTGCTTGCCCCATGTCACCTGGCCTTATTATATGGGTGGAATCTTGCTGGCCTCTCTCTCCATAATCAGTGCAATGAGAACACTAAGACCACCAATGTAGCCAGGTGGGTGTGAAAAGACAGAAATCATGAGTAGGCAGCCCTCAGCAAAATCTAGGCAACCATGAGTTTTTAAAAGCCATGCAGTATTCTGTGAAATTCCTATTGATGATTAAAATACAAAATGAGACGATTTTAGGGTGAACTGCATATACCTTGTAAGATAAAGTGACTTTGAATCCAGCATTGACAGGGAGGCTGAAAGAAGCAACCATTGCCCTTGACAAGTTGAGTTTGCAAAACAGACACTAATTAATTCAGAGCTGTTTCATCCCTTCCTCCTGGTATATATACTGGAAGAGCCAGGCTGGTACATTTGGGAAAAGCATGTGCAGACCCCAGAACTTTGCATCACTGTGTGGTGGCTGATGGGCAGGGGTCATAAGTGGAAGAGAAAGACAGATGGGCATAAGGTCACCTGCTTCATTTGAATAAGAAAAGATTTTTGCTGCTTTTTAATAAAAAGACTCTGAGTATTCCAAATGTATGTATTTATATAAATATAAAATAAATTTTGCTATCACATCTTTCAGGGAAAAGATATTAGCTAGGAGGGCAAATGTTAAAATATCTTTTCATGGAAGCAATAAAATCATCACAATTTCCTCAATCTTTAGTGCAATATGCCTATTCTTGAGTCAATATGGGTACTCTGGCATAAGGAAGAAAATGAGAATTGATTTAAGTTTGGAGATCAAATATTCATCCATAAGAGAACTTGAAGATGAGATCATTTCTAACTTTAACTTTTTCAGTTGGTGAATATTTTATAAACTTCTAACTCCTATTGCTTCTAATAGTAACATTGATTGGAAGTTTGAGTTGATGAAGGAATAAACATGTGCAAAGAAGACATTTTTCCCTAATGTTCTTAAACACCGATATCAGAATAGTATTTAAAATTCTCAAACATTTAAAATTTGCTTTGTTCAAGTTAGAGTTTTCCAAGGAAACCATTCAAAAGCAAATGGAGCCAGATGGATAGTATAGTGGGTATGGTGTTTGCCATCATGCAGCTGACCTGTGTTCAAAACTCAACATCACATATATTCTTTGAGCAGAGTTAGTTAGGAGCGATTCATGAGGAGAGATACAGGTGTAATCTCTGAGTACTGCTGGCCTGTAGCTCCAAAATACAAACAAAACAAAACAAAACAACACACACAAAAGCAAAAGAATGACAACAACAAAAAGTAAATGGGAATTTTATATAGAGTATATACATATAATATATATTCTATAGATAGATACCTTCGAAAAAGAATATATTTTCAAACACATAAAAACCTTTAATTATAAATATTTAATATATTATAAATTAAAATATCACCTTCTTTGTAAATAAAAATACAACAAGGAATGTATCTGCAGTGACCCAGGAATAAGTGGCTGGAATTTCAATCATGTTGAAGAACACCATACAGTGGCTAAAGCACATTTGCCTTCCAAAATAAAATATAGGGACCATATACTTTTTTTCTTAGAATTATTTTCCTGTACTTTACAGTCTGATGATTTTATATTCTCCCTGTACTTGAGAAAAGAGTATATAATTTTGATAGTTTCTAACTAAAGTCTGCATCCCTATGAGACAACTGGGGGATGCCATTAAATTCGTTTTGATAACAAACATAGAAATGCAATCTGCTTAGATGTACTAAGCAATATGAAAAATAAGGAAAGAAAAGGTGTATTTTTTGAATTGGGAAAATAATTTAAATAATCATTTAAATGACTATGCTTTCTAACAGGATCACAGTTTAATTAATTATAATTAACATTAAAACTAAATTATTAGAATTGATTTCCCTGTCCCACATATTTCCATTGTGCATCTCTCAAATAAATCTTTTATACACTACTTCCTTAAGAAGATGGCAAACTAAATAAATTTAAAAGAAAGCCTTTACTGCTTGAGGAAGTAAAATGGTGAGCTCTAATATTTTGCACTCTAAATTCTATAAAAATAAAGTCTGGATTTCCCCAAGTATGAAGTAGGCCTGAGGCGTTAATACCATTTTCACCTGATCTGCAGGAATGTCAGTGATGGAATCAATTCCCATGGAAGCTGAATTCTCAGAACCACAGCTTAGCTTGTACAGAGTCTGATTAACTCATCAGATAAGTACGACCCGTCTCTGGAAACTAGTGACATATTTTATTGGTATCACAACTATAGGCTCATTATAAAATCACACAAAGTTGCAACATTGTGCAGGAAAGATTCATTTCTTAAGAAAATAATTTAATTTTCAGCACTCATCAGAAGCACTTTTAGTTGCTGTACATGTATTTTCTTGCGACGCTCTGACTATCTATGAACATGGGGTCCACGGAGGCCACCTTGGCTGCTATGAAGGAGTGAATGCAGTGCAGGACACATGTTAGATCCTGAAACTCCAGCTCCTGCAAGAAACATTAACATTAATCATGTTTTGTAAATACCTAGAAAGTGCCTTACAAAAATAAAAACAGTTAACAAATTCTGTAGTTAGTGAACACCAAATAACTTAGTCAAGTAAAATACAAGACATATGAAAGGTTCAAAGTAATACAGCAATGGCTATGAACACTCAAATATGCTGACTTTCTGCCACTGATATACTAAAAATCAAGTATGAATTCGTAACTTTCTTACCCATTTCCGTTTTTGGAAATTGAACTCAATCTCTGTCACCTGATAAACAGGGTCATGACCTCAGTCTCCAGTCTGAGCCAGTCTTCAGCCAGTCCTGGTCAGAGTGTCCTGTGATGCTTTAATTTAAAGTCAGAGCAACAGGACTCTGGGATTTAGTTCATTAGAATGAAGTTTTGTGTTTTTGATCTCTGCGAGTATGTACTTGAACATGTATATGCATGCATGTGAAACTACGTGGGTGCGCATGAGTAGATGTGTTTCTGCATATGTATATGCATATGCATGAGTATATCTGTGTGCAAAGACTATCCTTGGGAGCAGCCAACAGCTGTGTGGAACTTATGGGAAAAATTCGTAGGCACAAGTCATATAAAAGGCCTGTTTATCCTCAGCCTGTTACCGAACCCACAGGGGAAAAAGATATCTTACTTGAAGGGGGGGGGGCATTCTCTTAAGAAATGGTTATGCTCAAGAAAGGAAAATATTTAAAGTACTCAGAATTCTGGATCCCTTTTTCTCCATTTAAAAGATCCCAAACACTACACAAAAGCAAATATAAAACACAAATTCTTATTATTTCTCTTCCTGAGACCTCCTTTCCCACGTTTCTACCATGTTATAATAGCATGAAAGTCTGCAGTGGACCTTCTGGCTGATACCTAAGTTCATGTAACAACAACTTAAAAGTTGTCACTGGGTAGAACAATAGCAATGCCCTGATTTTTTTTTTTTGTTTGTTTTGTTTTGGTCACTCCTGGAGATGCACAGAGGTTACTCCAGGCTTTCCACTCAGGAATCACTCCTGGCAGTGCTCAGGAGACCATATGGGATGCTGGGAATTGAACCCGGGTCAGCCACGTGCAAGGCAAGCGCCCTACCTGCTGCGCTATCACTCGAGCCCCTGTCCTGATGTTTTTCATGATAAACTATGAGAACAAGAAAATTCTTTCTAAGGTGACTGCTAACTGATTAACTTCCTGATAATTAAATTTTGTCAAAATATTGCATAGTCCAAATGTGTCTTTCCCAGAGGAGTTCCTGCAAGCAGCTTCTACTGAAGTTTTTAACCTGGGACCAGGAAAGAGGGCAGTTCACTCCAGGGAGTCATTCTTCACCAGGCATCTCAGCCATTACTCTTCATAGCTGAGATCAACACCTCCAAGTTCAATATTTCACCATTCCTTCAGACTTGGACTTCACCCAAATCCTTCTCTTTGGATGATTTTGGAAGCTGTCCTTGAATGGCTTGGGGACAGGACTGTGTTTACCCACCAAGGTTGTGGGAGACTGGCAAGGACACAGGAGGAGTAACTTAGTATTTCTACTTGGTGCGGCCAGTGCGGGAGGTATAAACTGTATTGCCTCTGTTGCTATGAGGAGAGTGAGAGAGAGTACTCAGAACAGAGGGATGCACTAATGATGATAGAAACATAATAATATGCGGTGCCAGGTTCCTGCACTTGGAATTGGCCAACTGTGCAGTTAACAGAACAAAGGACTTTGACTTTCTTTAAGTTCCTCCTTTGCTTGAAAGTGACTGTAATCGGGATAGCTGTACAGTTAATTGGCTATTATTTAAGTTTCTATAGTCTATTTAATTTTTTACTGAGTGTTGAGAAAAATAGATGATTATGAATATTCACCAAAATTAGGTTGTGAGTATTCTTAGCATTTAAGAAGCTAAAGAATTATTATACTTGTTTCTCAATAATCCTCACCTCTCACTGGAAAAATTAAGAAGTTACTTAGTCCCATGCTAACTGTGATTCAGGCTGGATCCAACACATTTAATATAACAAGCTTAATTCAATTTATAGATACTTTTCCAAAAAGTAATTACTGAGTTTTAAAAGAGAAATTTTAAGAAGACTCTCAAGCCTACAACATTTGTGCTTTGGGGACTTGTAAATTGAACACTGCTTTTCAACTTTCCCAAAGATTTATTCAATAGTATTGCACTAGGCTAAGAGACAAGGAGACAAAGGCCATTAGCATTAATGAATGTGCCAATTCACAGTTGACATCCATAGCTTTTGGTCTCATAGGCTGAAGTCATGACAAAATATCTACAAATTCTATGAGGACAAAGTGAAAAGACACCAGTAAGATTATGACTTAAAATCTCAGTCAACGTTGTTAAAATCCAATACATTAAAAGCTGTATTTCTTTTTCCAGATTGAGAATAAGAAGGTAGAGGGAATATCATAAAATACCAGTAAATCAACCATAGATCCAGCCATGAGATCTGTGGCCTTCATTTTCTAATCAAATAATACCAGCAAAGATAACCTCAACTGAAAGTTTGCAACTAGCATTGGACTTTCTGCTGAACTAAACACTCCTGTTGAGTTTCAAATTCTTTGTATACATCAGTACCTATCTCACCCCCTAAATATGCACACATATCACAGGATGTCGGATGTAGGCCTTATGAACAGAATTTTTTTAAAATTTTTTTTTATTAGTGAAACACCATGAGGTACAGTTGTAGATTTACATGAACAGAATTTTTAGACTCTGAGTTTTTGCTGCAGAACAGTAACGAGACAGGCACAGAGAGTCCAAGTCATTGAATTAGAAGTTACATTGAAATGTGATGCTATCTCCAAAAGAACAAAAGCAACCAGTGCTGGCACAGATGTGGTGAGAAAGGGATCCTTCACAGCTGGTGGGAATGCCGACTGGTTCAGCCCTTTTGGAAAACAGTATGGACGATTCTCCAAAAATTAGAAATTGAGCTCCTATTTGACCCAGCAATACCACTCCTGGGAATATATCCCAGAGAGACAAAAAAGTATAGTCAAAGTGACATCTGCAATTGTTTGTTCATTGCAGCACTCTTTACAATAGCCAGAATCTGGAAAAAATCTGAGTGCCCGAGAACAGATGATTGGTTAAAGAAACTTTGGTACAGCCACACAATGGAGTACTATGTAGCTGTTGGAAAAGATGAAGTCATGAAATTTACATACAAGAGGTACTACATGGAAAGTATCCTGCTAAGCAAAATGAGTCAGAAAGAGAGGGACAGACATAGAAAGATTGCATTCATCTGGGGAACAGAAAGTAACAAAATAGGAGACTAGCACCCAAGAATAGCCGAGATAAGTACCAGGAGGTTCACTCCATGACTTGGAGGCCAGTCGCACATGCTAGAGGAAAAGGCAGCTCAGGTAGAGAAAGGAGCACCAAATAAAGGGTGTTGGGAGGATCCTCCCAGGATGGGAGATGCATGCTGAAAGTAGATTATAGACTGAACATGATTGCCACTCAATGTCTCTTTTGCAAACCACAGCACCCAAAGGAGAGAGAGAATAAAAGGGAATGCCTTGCCACAGAGGCAGCATGGAATGGGGGGATGGGGAGTAGGAGGGATACTGGGATCTGTGGTGGTGGAAAATGGGCACTGGTGGAGGGATGGGTACTTGATCATTGTATAATGAAACCCAAGCACAAAAAATTGTAAGTCTACAACTGTACCTCAAGGTATTTCACTAATAAAAATTAAAAAAAAAAAAGAAATGTGATGCTATCAACTGAGCAGCACTACCAAGAATGTGTTTGATAATATTAAGTGTTACATTATTTCAAAACAGTTCTTGATTCAAATTGAATGAGAGAAAGTAGAGTTTAGAAAAACAAAATATCTTTTGTGGTTACAATTTTCTAAGTTAATTGTACTGTCTCAGTGACATAGAAAGTAGAGTTTAGAAAAACAAAGTATCTTTTGTGGTTACAATTTGCTAAGTTAATTGTACTGTCTCAGTGACATAGCATGCTTTGCTGCTCAAACTTCCTTTTAAAAAATGGGGATCTTTGAGGGCTATTTAAGAAATGCTGCAACAAAGCTATAAGATTGTCAGGTTATCATTCAACTGGGATACACCATCATAGCAAAATTCCCCTTGTTCTGGGAGAGAACAGGGTATATTAATAATGCAATCATATAATCCTAGGATGTTATGACTTGAAAGAAAATCATACAACATTGCAGTTTTATGTCAGACTCCAAGACAGGATAATGGAATGGATAGATCTTGTGTTTCAGGTTTAGTGAGAGAAAAAAAAGAAAAGTGCAGGAAAATATTTGAGGTGTATGAGGAGCAGAGAGAAAGAGTGGAAAACACTAGAGGTGCCACAGGCTCAGTGCCAGCAGAGATACTGACCTTGAACTAGTTCCTAAATCCTCTTGCCTATGGAGTGGGTTCCCCAAAGGGACTAACTGAGCTGAGAGAACCTTGGGACAAACATGGAATTGTTCTGCAAAACCAAGTTTCCTGGAGCCAGCTAACCCCCATTTTATTTTAAGAGCATTCTTATTTATATATATTATTTTTACACAATCACCCATACCTTTAGCCCTCAAAGAAGGGTTGCTCACCTGTGTATTTGCTACATCTAAGGAGGCACAAGAGAATATGCAAAACTTCTGCTTTTGGAAAGGAGGAAAGAAAATCACTAGGAATTGAACATTCAAATAAAAAAAACCAAAACAGTAGTTTTTCTCTATTAATTGTAAAAAAAAAAAGGCATTTAAATAGATAAGGCAAGGGGTTTTCTTTCCTTGTTGCAGTGGATTCCTTCAAGGGGCCTCTGGGAATAAAGGATCTAGCTTAGAACCTATCTGACCCCCTAGCCCCATCTCTAGTACTCTGAGTTGGGCTGGTGGAATGAATACACCTGGGAGTTCTGCACAACATGCTGATACGGTAGACTGGGGTCTAGGTGACCACATGAGCTCCTTAGAGTTGGAGAAAGGTAAAAAGT